GTCTTTTGCAACAGAAAACCTGGCCAAAACACATTGAGAGTTCAGTGAATGCAGGCAATGAAAGGCCACATGTCTGAGTAAAGTTCAGTGCTGTTTATTTAAGTCCTTGGCACTATCTGAAGGATCGTAGATGTTGTATAGCTGTGTGAATGAGTGGCTTACTCTGTCACACTGTGACAATCTGAATAGTAAAGTAACAGGAAATGAAAGTGCAACCTAATGATGAAGGATTTTTTATTGTGGCTCCTAAATAGGGCCAATCTTCAAAGCTACACTAGCCCAGAAGTTAACTTTAATGTTTTTATTCATTCTCTAAAGATATTATGAATTGTGTTTGCTTGCTCAAAAGCCATCTTCATGATGCTTATGTGTTGTGGGTTATTGGCAGATTAAGCATGTTTCCATGTGGTTGTTAGGGTGTTTTGTGGGGTTGCTAGGTCCTAGGTGAAGTTTCAATTATTTTTATATGATATCATGTTTTAATAAGAGTTAAACAATACAGACCAGGAATGATTGAAAATTTTAATTGATTGAATATCATCCCGAGAGAGAGAGAGGTCAAATAATGTGTGTTAAAGATAAGAGTTTGACAAATTTGCGACAGCTGAATGCAACATTTTGTCTGTCAAAATAACATGCACAATACACAGTAATATTTACAAGAAGCATGCAGAGGTCCAAGGAGTACACGCATTTCCTGGAAAACCCATGTTACCGGATGTTTTGACTGTGTCATCGCTCTCAGAGAGGGAGAAAATGGCAGCTTGAGCGACTTCAACATGCTGTCTGTCAAAGACCGTAACATACCTAATACATAATACGCATGTGAATAAATTTGTTCTTCACTCACTAAAATTGACAGGGGATGTTTTATGAAATGCAGGTCACTATATCTTCTCAGTTGTTTATAAGTTTAAGGCAATTATCAAAGTTTGATAAATTTTTACCTGATTCATTACATTTAATTAGGGCAATTGAAAAAAAAATGTTTTGACTCGTATACATATTGCATATTTATATAGATAGATTTTTCTCATTATATTCATGCATACCTATTTTATCTTTCATAAAAATGTTTGCGTTCATATTTAAATCTCTCCCTTTTACTTGTGTACTTTTGCATCCTGGAGAATGTGAGAACAGTTGACAGACATTGTTGAAAGAGCATATTGCTGGGAAGTATTACCAATATGTACTGAACTGTTCAAAAAGAAAACAATTCAACACTGTATTAAAATCCTCTTAAAAACCACCTAACACATTAACAAAACCATTTTCCAGTATCTCCATCACTTTTTCTTTCTGTTGCACTTCCTCAAACACTTACACAACACACCCCTGCATGAACAAAACCTTGTCAGAGTTGTTTATTTTGTAATGTCTCTGAATATGTCTTCTTCTGCAATGCTTTAGAGGGCACTGGATGTCTCTTTTAGATCACAGAGGAGAGAAAAGACTCCCATCCCTCTGGCGTGGTTATATAATAACCAAGAGAGAATGTTTTTTCAGCGCCGGCTCTGTGATGTTGCACATCACTTGGGTTCATTGGGTTTCTGCTTCCATCGTCCCCGTCAAAGACGCACCGAAAAAGAATCCTGCTTCTCTCCATTTCAAGGCAGAGAAACGGATCAATCCGTAATGCTCCGGTGCGGATTAGTCTTTGTAATTATTTGAGATCTCATTATCAGACAGCTGCTCTACCTAATTTAATCAATATTTAGTGATAAGACATCCAGCATGCATTCAGTTGCAGAGCGGGACGACATTAAACAGGCTACAGCCGATTCTTACGGTCTCTTTAAGTAGGTCAAGATGCAGGGTCTTCCTTCAGAGTTATGCAACTTCAGGCTTCTGGACTACAGCGATTCAAAATACACAAGAGAATGAGGGATATTTTTAAGAATGCATACGCCTGAATTGTGAACATCACATTTTTATTGCTGTAGCAATAGGATTAGATGTATTGCCTTGCATAGCAGATATTTCTGTGTTGCAATCACACAGCTTTTATTGGATCTAGTGAAATTAACTCTTATCTTTAACACACATTATTTGACCTCTCTCTCTCGGGATGATAATACTGTTAGCCAAATGTTGACTTTATTAACACCATCTCTTCCTAAACACACCAGGTCCCTTGACAGAACTTCAAATCCTCAACATATAGACTGTTTCCTAATCAGAAGCACACAGCTGGGCTTTCTGCCCCAAAACATCACTGGTCTGCCATGACCCCAGTTAACCTCTCTATTTAAAACACCGAAAATCCCGCAAGCAAACTCCAGACTCATATCTCTTTCACGCAGCCTCTTAACACCAGCCTCGGGAAAAGGAATCAAGAGAAAGAAAGGAGCAAAAAGACACCAGGATGTGAATCAAACCCTGAAGTTAGATTACATTTTGTAGTCTTTTGTATGGTAATCACACCAAAACATTGTCTAAAGAGGTCTTTCAGGCAATGAGACTGAGAATCTGCTGCTGTTTTGGCATTAAACCTGTGCTGTGTTTCATTAAAGATGTCTAAATATGGCTCCAGGACGTTTATGAGACAACGATACCCAGTCGAACAGAGCGCAGATGCCTCTAAGTCTCCGAGTTCTACCTGAGTGACCTGAGAGAAAATGATGGAGCAGCCTCATCTGTGCTGTATTATGGCTATGGTCTATGTGAAAGGTCTCTGTATCGATCTATAGGACACAGTCGATATTCATAACCTGCAATGATAACACTGTCTCTCCAGAGTCTGAGATGCCAGAAGTGATAAGGTCAGCCTGTGTCCGTCCAGTGGTGTAATGAACAGCAAAAAACTATTGTATATATATATATATATATGCCATTTTTCCAAAAGTATGAACATTTTATAGATTTATGTTTAACAACTAATTCATATCATATGAAATATTAGAATGAATTACAATTCATTACGATACAATTATGTTTCGATATTTGTTAAACCGTAATAAATAAATTACTGTTTAAAAGTTACTTTTTTTAATGATTTTGAAAGGTCTCTTATATTAAAAGGGCTGTATTTATTTAATCAAAAATACAGTAATATCAAAAAATATTATAACAATTAAAAATAACTTTTCTATTTGAATATATTATAAAATGTCATTTATTCCTTTGATGACAAAGCTGGATTTTCAGCAGACATTATTTCAGTCTTCAGTGTCACATGATCCTTCAGAAATCATTCTAACATGCTGATTAAGAAACACTTTTATTATTATTATTAATATTATTGCTGTTGTTTTTGTTATCAGTGTTGAAAACAGTTATGCTGCTTACTCTCTCTTTCTTTTCTTTTTTTTTTTTGGAAACCATGATACATTCTTTCCGTGATTCTTGATCAATAGAATCTATTAAAAATAATTTATTGATTTTTGATCCATGTATGCATCTTTGCTAATTAAAAGTATTAATTTCTTCAAAATAAAATACCACAATATAAAAGAATAGATGGCATGTGATGCTAAAACCATTACTGTATTCACTCATGGTATTTATGGTATTTCAAATAAGTACTACTGGATCCAAAAACCATTACTGTGGTACCATGTTTAAAAAATGGTGATATCATGCTACATTTTTAAAGTGAAGCTGTACATTTTAGCTCTTTATTTGAGCATTCTGATTCTGTCCAGGCTCATTCTGTCCAGGCTTTCTGGATACATTTTACCTTCTGGTAAATCTTTTGTAACACCATGTGCGTCTTTTTTTTCCAATGGTGTCTATCACCAATCTGCCGTCTTGTGAGTGGGACGTCCATGTTGCCCCTCCGACAGGGAGCAGGTGTGTTTTCCACCGCATTACACACACTCCGATGAGAGCACAGTGAAGCAGCAGGTGTCCAATTTCACCCAGCCTTCCTCCTACATACGCTCACATCCACACATCCTTCACACGCTACACAAACAAACCCACAATTTCACACGACTGAAGGACATTTAAAGACAAGGAGATGGACAGAAAATCAGAGGCTAATAAAAAGTGTTACAGAGTTAAGCGTAAAGCTGAGAAGTGCTCACAGTCATAAAGAAACTCACCACAAACCAAAAGCAGAAACCATGACAAGCTTCAAGTTCCTGTCCAGAAAGACATTCTTCTCAGAAGCATGTCTCAGGAGGATGTTACTTAAAGCCTCTATTTTTAGCGATTAAAACTGCATAAGGTAAATATTAGGTGTTGCTACTATTATTAAAATGCACATACTAAAACACTGTAATTGTTTCATAGCATGTCTATAGTTTACAGGCCTACTCCTCAATTTTATAAAAGGCATTTCACACAAGAGAAGTGAAATCATTCAAAATCAGCCATACAACTGGACAAACTGTCAGTACACAGCATTATTATTAACTGTGAGCTGTAAATGATCACTGAGACTTCACTTGCTTGCTGCCAACAGAAGAGAAGGATTTTTAACATTAAAAACCAATGCTCCATTTATGGGGGATTTTTGTATCTTCTGTCATATAACTCCACCTGGTGGTCAATATTAAAACAATATTTCGTAAAAGCAAGCACCAAGTCCGCTTTTTACAATGAACCTGACAATTAACTAAATACCTGAACGCATAGTGTGTTCTGCGTATTTGTGTTTAAAGATGCAGATATCTTTCTACTTCTTCTGAATCTTTCTTAAGAGGATTCGATTCCTGCTTGTTGAAAAAGAGACTATCAGGTGTTCCTGAAACAGACCTGAAACCGTGTGGCTTTGTGGTTAAAGCATTCACTCTTTCATATTGTGATATTTTAAATATTATTTTAAATATAAATATAAATATGCATACATATATACATACATACATTTTTATTTATTCATTCATTCATTCATTCATTCAGCTAGTTAATCAGTCAGTTTACTTTTTCTTTGCCCATTCATATAAAAAAACAACAGAAATTAAGTTCCTGGTCGTTATATTTTTTCTTTATTTATTTAATAATAATTCCAAAATCAAATCTGCACAACTTATTCATTTTGCAATATTACATGTTTTTGAAACTATAAAAATATTGAATACAAAAATACATTCTTGACAAGAGATTATAAAATTTGTGAAGTAGAATAAATTCATTTCAAAATAGATCGATAATGTAAACATTCAGCATAAAATAGTCAGGAATACTTATTTTTGACATCTTACAAATTAAGATTTATGTCAGTTGGCACAGGTCAAACAATACATTACATAAGCAAACAAACAACTCAAAATTTCTTTTGATTCTTTTGTCTGCGTCTCTTTCCTTTGTTATTTTTTTTCTGTCTTTTGGCATTTTGGCTTGGCAAGGCTTTTGGATCAGTCATTTTTTTCTGGTCCATAATTTCTTTGATCCATTCTGAGTCTGGATCAAAACACCTAATTTTCCTTTTTATGGTCAACAAGCTAGAAAGACAAACAATAAAAATAATGGTGAACATTTGTTTAATTTCACTTTAGTTAAGTGCTAAATTACTATTTAAAGCACTTGTATGCACTGTCAACTTTGGTTTTACAACAACTTGTTTTTATTTAATTTGTAACTTATTTTTTTTTAAAAACCTGACTAAAGGTCATTTAGTATATGAGAATTTCTTCACTTACACAATTGCGTTGATAGGGCAGACTCCTGCTTTCTGGACTGTGTAACTCACCACTCTGTTTTTGTGTATTCTGTCTTTGCTTGTCTTCAAACAGCAGGTTGAAGAACGATGACTTGCTTCTGTATGACAAAAAGAAACTGCAGTTATTTTTGAAATATTAAACTGTCTCTGAACTTAATAAGGGATCCCAACAACTTTACCATCTGATTTATTTAAGCATTCAAACTGAAAAAACACTAACCCTTTCCAGGAATCATGAATGAGTAACAAAATGTAAACTTAAACTCACCCGCAGTGAGACAGAGCAGAAACAGCACCAGGCAGAAAGAAAGACAGACGAGCGACCTCATGACGGCTGTGCAGACAGACACTGACTGAAACTACTCCTTACACAACCTTAATATTTCACACTTTCATTTCCTCCACTCTTTTGTGCACACACACACAAACCTCAACCTCCAAAATGGGTGTTGTGTCTGTGTGTGAGAGAATGAGCCTCCATCTGATGAGCGGAAAGAGGCGCTACTGATGAGCTCTCGGTTTGGTCCTTCACCCACACAGCTCACCACAGCGTGGGTAGCTACTGTAGATGAATGGAGTTGCAATGCGAAAATACATGAGAAACTATAGAACAGAAAGGCATACTTTTATGAAACGTGAGAATGCATACAACTTGTGTTACAGATACAATGCTTCACTATGTTGCCTCATGATCATAAGAAACTCCATAGAATGAGGCCATAATCATCGTAGCCATTGAGGGGGACAAGTATCCCCCAAAACTTAGAAATGGTCAAATTACATCAAGTTACATTTTCAGGGTGGTGTGCCTCAGCTGTCTATAGATGCTCATCAATGTCAAAATGATTGAGCTGGCCAATCAAAGAAAAGAAGGCAGTATTTACACAGAAGCAGAGTGCGAATTTCAGCGTGAAGCATCAGTTTAACATTGAAAGAGAGCGAGGTAAGATGGAAGTAGCAAAACTTTTAATATTTAACAACTGTTTAATGATAATGTTAAACGACTGACAGTAATATCCAGAAATGCAAACTTTTTTTCTTCAAATTTCAGCGTTGTAAATTGAAAATATGGTAATTGCAAATCATCATTTTAGAGTTCGTAATGGAGGCTTGAGTCATTAATAAGCAGTTATGAAGGAGAGAGATTAAGCATGTATGAATTACCTGAGCAAGTTTAACTGCTTCAAAAACAGCAAACGTTGCTGCTGAGTAATGTCATTTCATTTTTCAGTCGCAAATTATTTAATAAAAAGGTCTATCATGTGTCTGTACTGTGGGAGAAAGGAACCATACTTTCCATAGATAATAAATGGTCATTTGGCTGGACAGACATTGTTTTTTGTTTACAGAACAGGATCATTCTGATATGGCCAGTCTGAACAATGTCATTGTATTAGTGTTGGGTCGTTCTTGAACGATTCGTTCGTTTTGAACGAATCTTTAATGTGACTCGGGAAGAACGAGTCGTCTCGGGGAGTGATTCGTTCAGTCGCGCATGCGCAACATCATATAGGTTCTGTACTGGAATTAGTCAAGTAGTTCACCTGGTTCGAGTCTTCGGGTTTTTCCAAGTCGTTCGTTCATCACGTGACAGCCCCATAAGTTTAACCAATGCAGTCTGAGCCGGAAAGACAATTGATTAGTTCATCTCTCGAGTCTTCGGGTTTTTCCGAGTCGTTCGTTCATCACGTGACAGCCCCATAAGCCCAAACCCGAAGACTTGTCAGATAAGAGGTGGTGAGCTAATCATAGACTGAAGACTCAGGTAAACAATGAATTAATCTTTTCTGTTTCTTATAGCAGTTTTGTATTGTTTGTAGTGTGATCAACGTTTAGTAGACATATTAGGGAAGTAACACGTAACATTTTAATTATATTTTGTTAAAATGAACGAAATGACTCGAAAAAAGATTCGTTCATTTTGCTGAACGAGACTCAAAGGTCCGAGTCGGTAAAATGATCCGAACTTCCCATCACTACATTGTATTGTTGCATACTAATATAAATATGCAACCATCATTCCACACCACAAAAACCTGACCTAGCTTTCATTTACCTCACTGACCTGCTTTTATTTAAAAAATACTCAGAAGGACCACTCAATGTAGAACCTGACAGATATAGACATCTCTGTGGATTCATGCATTAAATGGCTAACAAAATTTGTCACTATGCTTTACATTTAAATCCTTGCTCTACTGAAAACCTGAGACATGAGCATGACTTTATTTAGAAAACACATTGTCAACCAATATATTCTTTAAGCACCCACATTTTCTCAACAAACCCACCCTGTGATCTACTCCACCTCTTCTCAAACCAAGTTGTGGGGAGTTCCATGCATCATGCAAGGGGTCTTTGTTTCACGTATCTGTTGTCTTGTGTGTCAGCACATGGCTTTGTTGCTGTTTTTGTCAGCCATATGCCCCTCTAATCCCTCCTCCTTGTTTCCTCTTTACTCTTTACCTTGTTAGCCTTTGTCTAATCCTTGTTCGTCTAATTGTGATCACCTGTTCCTTGTGTGCTTTCCTCCCTATTTATAGTCCCCCTTGCCCTCTTATTTCTGCCCATTTGTGGTCATGCTCACCCTCATCTTCATGCTATCTGTGGCTATGGCTAAGTATGTGTTCCTTACCCCTTGCCTGGTTTGTCTTGTCAAGTCCCTTGTAATCCTATGTTCTAGTCTTGGTCTTTGATTTTTGGATTTTGTCTGTTTTGACTTTTTGGTTTTAAGTATTCATCTAGTTCTTCTAGTCCTGATCTCTTGTTTGCATTTTTGATTGATATTTTATGTTATTTGTGTTGGTTAAATTAGTAATTATTTCCTGTTGTACTGTCCTGACCTGTTTCCTGTGAGTTCCTGCCCGCTGGTTCCCCCTGCCTGGCACCTGGTCCACTTCAGTCTGCGGTCAACAAGTACCTGAGCTTTGTGGTGCCTTGCTCTGTCCTCCCCATCTGCACAGTCTTGCTGCTTCCTCTGCAGCTCTTCTGCCAGTTGATACCTGAGGCCGTTCCAGCTGCCTTCCATAGCTGTCTCATCTGTTACCTGTGCTCCTCCTGTTGAATCACCAGTCAAGCTAATTTCAGACACCTCTGAGTAGACTGAGATTGCTGCGTCCATCCCTGGGTCTGTCAAACCAGTTCCAGACACCTGTGAGTTGACCAAAATTGCTGCAGTTGTCCCTGATCTAGTCAAGTCAGTTCCTGAGCTGCAGCCATTCCTGAACCAAGTCAAGATAGTTTCAGACACACCTGAGTCGACTGAGATTGCCGCAGCCATCTCTGGGTCAGACAAACCAGTTCCAGGCACCCCTAAGTTGACCTAGACTGCTGTGGCTATCCTTGCCATAGTCAAGTCTGTTCCAGTTATTCCAGTTTCGACTAAGAACCCATGCAGCCATCACTGTGTCAGTCAAGCTAGTTTCAGACACTCCTGAGTTGATAGACCCCTGCAGCCATCCTTGCCTCAGTCAAGTCTGTTCAAATCATTCCTGAAGTGACCAGTCCGCTGTGGCCTTCCTTGCTTCAGTTAAACCAGTTCTAGTCACCTTTGAGTTGGCCAAGACCACTGCAGCTATCAGTGTCAGTCAAGTGAGTTCCAGGCACTCTTGAGTTGATCCAGACTGCCGCAGCCATTCCAATGGCAGTCAAGTCACTTCCGATCATTCCTGTGTCGACCTGGACCATTGTAGCCACCTCTGTGTCCATCAAGACAGCTTCACTTAACCCTGTGTTGGCTGGTCAATATTTGATCACCCCCTCAGATGTGGAGGAGAAGGAGGGTTCATGCACCTCAACTTATTGGCCTTTCTTCTGAAGTCTCAGCCCGTAGGTCCAGGAAGACCTCAGTGAAGAGGCTTCAGGCCCTGGGAGTCCAGAGGTGTCTAGTTTGGTGGCCTTGGTCTCAGAGCCTCTAGTTACAGTTACGAAGCATTTTCCTGAGCCACCCAGTCTATTTGATTTTGTCTATAGAAGTTATGCCAGAAACTGTTCCAACTTGTCATGCCACGCCAACAGAAGTTGTTCCTACCAGTCATGTCCATTGTGATTGCTTTCGCCTGTCATGTAATGTCCACAGAAGTTGTTACTGTCTTGCCTGCGAAATCCATCTCTCAAATCCACAGAAATCGTTCCTGCAGTCATGTCACATCATGTTCATGGAGACTATTCCTGTCTGTCAAGTCACGCCTTAAGAGGTTATTCCTACCTTTCATGTCTTGGCCATATAAAGTTTTCCTACCTGTCCTATCATGCCTACAGAGGTTGTTACCACCAGTTAGGTCATGGCCATAGACATTGTTCCTGCATGTCAAGTTCTGGCCATATAAAATGTTCCTGTATGTCCTGTAGTGCCCTCGGAGGTTGTCGCCGCAAGTTGTCCACATTGAGATTGCTCCCGTCTTGTCAAGCCTGCAGAGGTGGTTCCTGCTAGTCAAGTTTTGTCCACTGAGATCATACCAGACCAGCTCTCGGCGGTTTCTGATGAGTCTTGGAGGATGTTCGTACTAGTTGTGTTCCACCCAAAGAGGCTGTTCCTTTCAGTTTTGTTGTTGAAGATTGATCCTATCTGTCTTTCTAAGCCCACAGAGGTTGTTCCTGCTAGTCAAGTTGCGCCCACTGAGATCAAACCAGATCTGCTCGAGTCCCTCAGAGTATGCTCCTGCTAGTTACGTTCTAATTGTAGAGGCTGTTCCTGAGCCCTTAATCACTTAGAATCCGCTATGGAGTTGGTTTATTGTTCACTCTTTTATTTATTTATTTTTTTTTCTCCTTACGAATTTGTTTGGTGCAGCATTCTATGTGTGTGTGTGTGTATATAGGTATGCTTGGGCTGTTATAAATGTAAAAAAATAATTTATATATTTATAGAGTTGTTTGGGGTGGGGATCAATTAAACATAATCTGTGACGACGTCACAATCGTGTTGCATTTTGGTCTGTGGAGTGGCCTGAAGTGTGCATATGAAGCAGACTCGCTCCCTCGGTCAAAATCGAGGGGCCGAGGGTCGGTCCATATAAACTTCCCTCGTCCACTTCACGAAGTGGAATGCAACTCAAAATGGCAGCGGGGATTCCCTCAAGGGGAAGTGCTTAGGGAAGTTTGTGAGTGCGTGTCTAAAAGTGGAGTGGAACGCAGCCTTTGTCTAGTCCTTTTTGGTCTAATTGTGCTCACATGTTCCTCGTGTGCTTTCCTCCCTATTTATAGTTCCCCTTGCCCTCTTGTCTTTGCCGGTTCGGGGTCATTCTTGCCCTCACTGTCTCTGTCTGTGGATGTGGCTGAGTATGTGTTCCTTACCCCTTGCCTGGTTTGTCTTGTGCCCTAATCTTGTCAAGTCCCTTGTAGTCCTTGTCTTGTGTTAGATTTCCTCTCCTGACCTGTTTCCTGAATCACCTGTGCACCTGACTATCCTCTTGAGACTGTCTGTCTTGTAAGTAAATATTGTTACTCACTCTGCGATTGGGTCC